ATAGAGATGCAAGGCTGGAGGAGACAGAAATACGGAGGGAGTAGAAGCTAGAGTGCAGGAGAAAGAAATTAGTGTTTAAAGTGGGGGAGGGCGTAGTGAGTGAATGACACAGCAGTGTATCTTCTGCAAGTGACAGCAGGTGTGGGGCGCAGGTGTTAAATATTAAAGCGACCTAGCAGGGAACCTAGGCAAATGGCCCCTACTGATATGGGACATCCCAGGCTGGGACACACACACACACACACACACACACACACACACACAGCACACAACACACAACACATGAAAATATGCAGACACCAAGGGTTGCATCCCACCACAGTGGTAGAGCAAAGCAGAAAGAACATGTATGTTTAATTCACAACCTTCCATTTCAGCATGTTCGTGTCCTTTTGCTGCGCACCGTGACCCCAACCCCCACCCTCTATACCCCACACACCAACAAGCAGGAAGTCAAAAGAAGAGAAGAACAAGGTTGGTAGAGAATGAGTGAGCACATGTGGGGGCGAGGCAAAGCCAACAACATTTCTTATTTCCCAAAGCGTTCCCTCTGTAATGGAAGTACAACATTCCAAACTAATCCTGCTCCTCTCCTGGGCTTACACATGCCCTTTCTCCCCATCAATTTCGTGTTCCCTAAACGTGTCTCCCTTCCCTCAGCACACCATCCAACTGGCTGTGGATTATGCCTGACTGTTCCACACTGACCTGCATTATAGTGGATGATGAGGAAGCAGAGACCGGGAAAGAGTGAAAGAGAGGGAGGGAGACAGGGAGAGAGGTTGGACCTGTTGCAACATTGATCCATTTGTTTTCATTTAGGAAAAAAAATTGGGCTTGGCATTCAAAAATGGATGATTCTTTGATTTGTTAGGACTGATCCAATTGGGGTGGAACGTATTTCGAACATTGCCGATTCTGGCAGAGGTACAAGGAGAAGTACAGTGTAGGCAAAAACAAACACTGGAATATAAAAACAATATCAGTGTCAGCAAAGTTTCCCAGGTTCGTCCCTGGCCAATAAATCAATGTTTCATCTTAAATTACATACAATAAACAAAGCTTATTTATGCCTGTAGGTCTTTATTTACGTACATACTCTTCTACTCTACTCTTCTTCTACTCTTATACTTTCTTTCATTCATTCATTGGTTTATTAAAGTATTCATAACACAATTACTGCAAACAAATGTGTGTGTATTTCGACGTGCACACAAAACAATGTTGTTTTTCCCCAAGACTTTTCATGGTGAAAGCTGGCGGAGTGGGATTATTTCAGCCCAGGAGACAAATGATGGTGTGGACAAATCAAGTAAAGGGGTGATGGTTAAGGTTCACATTATGAGACAACTACCAAAAGATCCCCCAGGCATGAAGCTTTGTTTTATATGGGGTATATTAATTACAAGTAAATATAGATATATACTTCTGTTGCAATACTACAAATCACTGATATAGGTAGTTTGATAAGGTGGAGAAATTACCTCAAAGCAAGGCTTGACTAGGGCATCAAAAAGGCCAAGTTTGGCCCTGGTTATTGCAACCAAACCACACAACTAAACAAAAAACAAAACCCTTTGTTTGACCCCCATTAACACATGTATCCCCAACTGAAAAGCAGCTAAAATATTCTAAGAAAAACACTCAAATTGCACCTGTGCAATGCAGAAGTCACACTATGTAAACAGAAACAGAAAAGCTTGACAAATAAAAACCTGAGGGGTTGTTGAAGTAAGTAACTGGTCTCCACAATCTTGTTTATCACAGTTTGCAGGGATGCCCACAATGCCTGCTCCTGTTTATGTGATAGAGTGTGATGACTATACAACCAGCTACTGATAAAAATGACAGCTGGAGAAAGCCTTTTCTTGAAATGTGACATAATCATGACAGTTAAGTTTGCATTTTGGCAGCTTAACGCTCCTTTAACACCATGTATTTCACACTTGCGCTGCCCACCTCCACGTATATCCATTATTTCAGAGCACTTGCCTGCCTGCTGAAGGTTTGTTTCTGTATTTTCTTGGCACCATCTTCTTCCTTCTGTTTTTTGCTCTCCATCTAAAACATGATGTGAAGACTACTACTGGACTGAGCCAGAATAACCAAGGTAACGGGATGAGCTGCTCGTTGTTCACTCATACAGACTTGATTGCGACATTAACAGAACGCATGTATGTGTATGTAGAGACAGATACCACAAGCCCTGCTTGCTCAGGCTGAAGAAAGCACAGAATTGTTTGTTAGCAATCAGGCTGAATTGTTACCACTGAGATTTCTTTTGATCTTCTGGATTACCACTACATCACTGAGACCAGGTATGAAAGCACACACAGCCAGGAAGAACTACATGGAGCCAGATTATTTTCATAGCAAAATATGTTTGCTGGGGTTGGTCTCTTTCATTCTAACTATTCACACCATTGATGCATGTGTACTGTATCGTATTCTGAAAGAGTGAGAGGAGCTAATATAGCTGAGAACAATGCTAGAGTGAGGTCAGTGTGATGAGATCACCCTCCCAGTTTGAGTGTCAAGCACATGTGTCTGAGAGTCCTCATCACCTCTCTTGTTTAGCTCGGTCTTGTTTAGCTATATCACCTGGCAAGATGGGAACATGCTACAGCACACCATCATGACTGCTGCTGAAACCATTCATTTAAAAATTTACCACAATTTTGATAATGACAAATCCTTTCAGTCATTTATCAAGCAAAAATGCCAAACCTTTGCTGGTTGCTGTTTCTCAAATGTGACAGTTTGCTGGTTTCATGTTTCATATCGTTAACAATTTAATATCTTTGTATATTTTTGTTTTTTGTTTTTTTTGATGAATACAAATCATATCCAATTAAGGTGACCTCTTCACGTCTCTCCAAAAATGTATATATCCTTGTGAATAACAAACATTTAATAGCTTGAGAAGAGTTTAAGCCTACCTTGCCTCTTTATAACGGTGTATAATGCAGCCTGGGTATTGTTTTAAATTGTGTCTCAGTGTTACAGCTAAGAAGTGCAGATGATTTCCATACAGTATAAAAATTATTTACCATTTTTGTAGCATTTTATAGACTAAACAATTAAACGATTAACTAAAAATCAGCTACAGATCTTGAACATAATCATACAAATGATGACTACGAAAGAAAATCAAGGAATTATTCAAATATAGACCCAGGACACAGGGGAGGAACATCAACAACATCCTCTCACACCTTTTCCGCACATATTTGAACAATGTCCTTCTGGCAGGTGCAGATAAATGTGTACTACAACAACCACACACATCAGAACTTCAGAAAAAAATACCCGCAATGCTTTTTCAATGATTTGCTGACTCACTGAGATCCTGTACCTGCCTGCCAGAGGGCTGCTTTTGCCCTTAATTCAAACCAGGCATGAAGACTTTTTTTCATTTGCAGAACAGGCCTTCAGGAACAGTTGTGGGGGGCTGTTTAGTTACAGGCTACACACACTCACGCTCACACCTGGGAGCTGCCAAGAATGGCCGCACTCTTGTACTTTTGACCACTGAGCAGTTCAATTAGAGCAGTCGGGGGTTAAGTACCTCATTTAATGGCACATCAACAGCAGCAACTAAAGGCAGGAAAACACAATTGATTTATTTTCCCTTTCATTATATACTCAGTGGGAGATTCCAGCCACTGACCTTCATGTTGCAACCTCACTACCCTAACCTTCAACGCAACTGTCGCTGTCTTTCGTACATTCCTCTTGTCTTTTCTCTCACATATACACACACACATTGCATCCCACTTCACCTACTACTTCAAAAGGCTGCTGTATTGCTGCAGTTATTGGTTCCTGTGTTTTGGCTGCTTTGCCCTGAGAGGTTTAAAAGCTAAAGAACCGGTTGTGTTTTTATCAAAGCTTCTTCAGTGAGTCTGTCAGTCAGCGAGGTCTACAGAGTCAGTACCAGAGAGAAAATTCAGCTAAGAAAGAGATGTACATCCCTAACTTTGCTCTGAGCATCACACCAAAATAAAACAAAAATCCAACCCAAAAGGATATTTTCTCATTTTTCTTTTAAAAACTAGGAATCTATGTTTCTACCGTTCCACTGAGCACTAGACATCATACTGCTACATACAGCCCAGGGTTTCTCTCTTCTTTTTTTTTTTTTGCAGAGGCTAGTTTTACACCAAGCAGAAAATATATTATTACATATGATCATCTGTTAATATAAAAATGATGTACCAGAGAATGCTGCATGTTATATATAAATACTTTTACTGACCTTATGAATACTGTACTTTTAAATGTGCACTATGTAACATTTTAAAAGACTAATTAACATAAAATTGCATAGGGGGATACCAGCAATCAATCTAGTGTGTACGTAGTGTTTCTACTCTAAACTTATACACAAAATAATAATGGAGCAGCCCTGATAGCACAAACAAGCCTTTTAAAAAAACACTCCTAGTGTGTCATCTACAACATGCTGACTACAACATCCTCGGACAGTTTATATATGGCATAAGTCCATTCTTAACTCAAACAACCTCAAAATATCCATTTGAAAGAGCTCACAGTAACTCACAGGAAACAAAATGTAACATTTGTCAAAAGCTGTGGTTTTACATTATTGCATATTCCCACCACATACGCAATACCTCTAAAATGGACACTTTACTATATATATACATATATATATATATATATATATACATATATATTAAGGATACATTTTTAATGCTGTAGTCTAGTGGATTATGTTGAATTGTAAGCTGCATTTCAAGTGGAGTGACTTTCTAAATACCAAGTCTATCAACGAAATAAGTGTCTGACCTGATTGCTTACATGCCAGGACACCTTAATAAATCGTAGGCTGAAATGCACTATCCTTCAACATTGAAAGATGGCTGAGAGGATGGATTACAACTCCCTAATCTCCAAAATACACACATTGTGTATCCAAAAAAGCAGGGTTATATTTTGTGTGGGTGTCTGTGCTTGTGTGTATCACGGTCACTCACCTTGTCAGCCATAATCATAGAGGAGCCTCCGTGGACTCCCAAAACTGGAAGTTGTGTCTGAACGGAGAGGAAGTCAAGGATCTGGGCAATGGCCTCTTGATCGGTGCCATCGGCAAACACAATGCCATGGAGACGAGTGCGTGACAGAAGTTCACACACCTTGGGACACAGTGAAACAAACTCAGGTGTGACACAAGACTCTGTGTGCGGGATAGATAGCATGTGTATTGGTGAATGTACACAGCATTTCTCACCTGTGTAATCACAGACTTTGGGTCTGTCTCGTTGATCCGCAGTATTACCACAGAGACGTCAAGGGCATCATCAGGTCGCCGAGATGGACGGAGCTCCTGATCGGAAACGTAGCGCGTCTGGGCCATGATCACACCCACACTGAGCCCCGGGGGCTTCTGGGACGCCACAGGCACCATCATCTGGGAGAGTAGGAGCAACATCCAGCCCACTACACCCATTATACCCTAAAACACACACACACACACACACACACACACACACACACACGAATATGAAGAAACTCTGACAGTTTGCCTCACAAAACCAGACCATTTCAATCCTGAATTTATTTTACAACGCTCATATACTAAGGCTGTAACAATATTTCTTTCCATTGACAGTTTTCTGCTTGCTATCAGCAGCCTGTCACAGGTGCAGGGTGAGACATTCTGTATGTTGGGTGGCTGTGGCTCAGGAGATAGAGCAAGTTGTCCACTAATCAGACGATTGACAGTTCAGTCCACGGTTCCTCCTGTCGCCTTTAAAAAATGTCCTTGATGCTCCTGATGGTCAGACCAGCAGGCAGCTCACTGTCATCAGTGTGTGAGTGTGAATGGGTGAATTAGAAGCAAATTGTACAGTGCATTTGATAAAAGCAGCCATTTGCCTTTTAACCATGTTGTTTGTTCTCAAACTGTCAAAGTAAAAAATATTGATATGTTCTTCATGTCTTTATTTTATGAACTGCTTAAATCTTTAAAAAAAATATTCATCCTGGATAACCAACCTTAAATTTGTTTATAGACCAACTGTATTTTCTCAAGACTTGCAAATCCCACAATGTGTGAACACAGAAGGCTTCGCAAGCGATAACAAATCAGTACATGCATGCAATTGACAGGGGCATGAACAAAACTGAAACTCTTATTTTCACTTACTTAAATTTATGTGTGTAATATATGACACCATGTTCATAAGAACTGAAACTTTGAACACACCCTGTGAAACGAGTTTAAAATCTACTTTACTGTGTCGTGGTGGACATTTTTATTTCCGATCACCAGGATGTAAGAATCTTATGTATTCTGAACATGTCTTCAAAAAATGCAATAAGTGCTGTAAAAGACCCAGCAGGCTTCTCAAAAGATTGGCTTGTATTTATCTTCGATAAAAACAGTGTGACTCAGATATGTGACTCGAATATAAGTATTAGTAAAAGTCTCAAGCGCAAAACCAGATTATATGATAGGCACATTCTGAGGATAGGCGTTTACTGTCCTCTTTCTGTCCTGCACTATTCAAAAATCACTTAATTCAGTTTTATAGTGGGTGACCATAAGGGGACCAGGGTTAAACCTAACTTTATTTTCGCTGAACTTATAATCTGGCTTCATGAGATGCCCTAAATCTCTCCTTTCCACTGTCTGCCTTTATTTTAACATAATCTCTGCCTGTAGGCAATGTTCAAAGCAAAGTGCCAGCTATTAATGGTTAAGAGAACCCTGAAATAAATGTAATCTGATTTTAACCCAGTCATGGGGTATGAGGGGAGACATTCCAAATCCCTGAGGCACACAAGTGTCTGCATCAATCAATAACGTTCACTGAGATAAAAAATATCTAAATATATTTTAACTCTATATTTTAACCAAGTTCCAGTCTAATACAGAGGGGTTTAAGCTCACGTTCCCAGTTCATCTTAGTCTGTGTTACCTTTTCCTGTAATGTGAGCAGATCTAAGAGTAGCAGATGAATAGAGGAAATGCAGTGTGAAATGCCTTGGGCTGAACGAGAGCTAATGAAACTATGTGGCGAATGCTACGTTGCATCTCAGCCAATTTCTTACACCACCACAGTCCAGCAGAGCTGAAAAACACCTCAGGAAGAAACATCACGTCCACAAAATTAACCTACTATCTTTATATCTCTGCATCAGTTTTCTAACTTTGCATCCATGTCTGCAAATCATCTTTATATATTAATTTTCTCTTTATTTTTATTTTTACCCTCTTAAATTCTGACAATCTGTCTTTCCGCTGGGTTAGTATGTGTATCTGATCCATGTCATCCCACACCCGGTCTAATCAGGCCAGTTAGTCAAGACAGTACTTTCCCAGCTTGCTCTCTCTGCCCTAGTGCCCACAGACTAGCCTGCAGCTCCAGCAGCACTTAGCATACGCCGCTAAATCACACACCGCTACACTCCTGTCCCAGGGAATTAGTGTCAGCTCTAACCAATGGGACAAGATTACACTAACTTTCCCTGGAGTTAGCATCAGAGCTAACATAACTAGGAGCCGGAGTGTTCTGTGCCACAGCTTCCAAAATGGTCAACGTAGCTGGAAAACTTTGGGTCACTGAGTGTTCCCGCTGTCTTATAGGATTTGCATTTGTGCTTACAATCATATCCGCTGACTCCAGTGATTAGCTTCCAAAAGAGATGTCGTGAGTCGTAACTGTTTCTCTCTGCATCAACATCTATGCTAATATTTCCACACAACTAAAAAATTTGCTCAATAATGTAACATGATTCTGTAGAATCCAGCCAACACTGAAAGGGTGTTGACCCTTTAAAAATGTAATTTAAAGGTGAGAGTTAATTAAGTAACTGATTTACTGCAATAAAATAGACTGAAGGGGGCTTTTTTAAACATGTTTTCTAAATTGCACAAAAATGTCTCTAAGCAGCAAATTAGTCTAATGTTTATTTTTCTCGTCTAAAGTTAAATCTAGATTTGTAAAAATGATGTCTCTGTCAAAGCTAGAATGAACACACCCACTGCTCAAATGGGAACTGGCATTCAGAGGCCCTCAAGCTGCTTCAGTGACAATAAATCAGAGGACATCTTTGTGCACAGTGTAACACAAGCCAGAGTGATTTTCCTTGGATATAAGCACATTTTTTGGTTCAACAATGTTAGCCCTAACTCCTATTAAGTAAAGCTCATGTGGGTGTAATTGCTTAAATCTATCAGTCCACAATTTCATTCTTTCATTCACTGCTAATGAAGCAGCGCTACATAGTGTCTCAAGATGACAACACAAATTAGACTTGCAGTTATGCGGGCCTTGTTTTCCCAAAATATGTTAAAGTGATAATAAATGTGAAATCTGTCTCTTGAATAGGAAACATTATTGAAATTGGCTGTAAAGATCTTTCATTTCCTCATTGAGGGACAACACTCTCTGTGAACAAAATGAATACAGTCAGTTTCAATGGATTTCAATGGCGACCAGTTTTCACTGTGGACAAAAAAGGATCAAAATGTACACTGAAACCTCCCGAATTTCTGCAGCACAACCTGCTTTTCCACTGTACATTTGTATTTTAATCATGCTCCTGTCACTCTTTTTTTTTTGCCAACATGTGGCTAAATTCACAAATCTACCACTTCAAGGATGTAATCTGTCATACAAAGCTTCGTTTGTGTGGTGTTTCCAAAAAGTATTTGTATTTTGTATTTAAATAATATCTTACTACCCCATTTTCTACCACAGTTTCTACTCTTGGTTTCAATTTGGTTTGTTAATCCCCATAATACTCAGCTCCAAACTCTGAGTGTCAGGGCCAGATTTATGTACATATTTCTGCTTGCAATCTGCATGAAATTAGCGTCTGATTTACTTAAGCAGTGGTTAATTTTCAGTAACTGGGACTGTCTTTTAGGTGCAGTCTGCATATAAACAAGATCTCTAAAGATGCAGTTCGATGGTGAAATTGGGATACCATGGGGCAATAAATCATGAAAGAAATCAAGCCCAGAAAAAGAAATCAAATGTACTAATGCTGAAGTTATAATTCCCATTATATGAAACTAACTTTCCAAACCATTTACTAAGGCCCTGATTAAACTCTATAATGTGGTTATCTCTTACTATATACTAGTAATATATACTGCATTAGGAGACATTACAGTGTATAATGTTGTTAAGAAAATACATACCACAACCAGTAACAACTGTGCAATCACCGAAATGCATTAGCTCAGATTTCAAGTTGTCAAGTTCAGGTTCAGGCTAAATGACCACAAAGCCACAACTCTCCATCCCATTTTTGTTTATTGTAAAAAAAATATATTTAAAAAGGAAAAAAAGTGCTATATTCCCTGTAAAACTGACCCGTTAATATTGGGTGAGCCTTAATAAATGTACCAGAATGTACAGCCAACCACATTTATCAAATCCACCCTTTGTTATGTGTGCAATCCTACTTTAAATGCTAAATGCATTTGCATGAAGAAGAAAGGCACACTTCACTGATTGCACGCAAGCTATGTCTCAGATGACAGGCAAACTGCGCTTCCAGGCCGCTGCACCTGTTTGATAGATAACTTGCACATCAAGTGAATTTTATGTTGTCTAGTGCTGTGAGTTGTACGTGCATTTAACTTGACAACAATGGCAAAGTTAGCAGTGTTGTCCTAAGTTGCCAGCGGGCAGTGCGTAATGTGTGTTTGATGCTCATACAAACGTATGATCTGCAGGAAATATACTGTAGGCTATATATTTTAGACGGAAATAAATAAAAGGATATTGTTTTGTTTTTTAGATACATTCCAAGATTAGCCAAGATCTGATCTGAGCCAGAGTTTAGGGTAGAGAGGACATTAAGAAAAGGAATAAAACAAAGTTGAGAAAGAAAGGTACGCTTTCCCCTCACATAGTGTGGACTTCTTGTCTCTTTTTAGAAGAGAGCAGTAAAGTGTTATGTTTGTTGGCCACCCACCTTTATTGTTTCTTAGTTTTATTTGGCTGCCTTAGTACTGTGAGAAGTTAGCCAAGCTTGTCACATTACCAGGCAGTCTGTGCTACGTTGTGTCTCAGTCAGTTAAAAAAATTCAAACACATTGCAGATGGTGGTGTGACGTCTTTGGGGACATATTGGAAAATGTTTTAAATGGTGTGGAATCTTTGGAAAAAAACAGCTATCAGCAAATGTCTTCAATTTTACTAACATCTTGTCTAGTAACAGAAAACAGCAGTGTCACCATTAGTACATACGTACTGTAGTTAATATATATTAGTATATATATACTAGTACACAGTATGGAGTTTGGACCCAACATGAGTGTAACCTGTGACATGCATAGACACCATGATGAGACAAAAATACTAACGCGTGACTGACATGGGCAGAGTTGCACACGCTCACTAACGTCTGGGCATACAATACTGGTCACTGCCTGAGGTGAGCATGTCAGGTATGGTCTGGAGTTGGTAAACAGGTAAACCATGACATCTCCCT